CATCCAGGGTGTGTCTCTTCTAGACAACGCAGAATTGGGATTTTCCTTTTTCACTTCGTCAAGAAAAAGGGCGGTCAGTAGGTTTTGCTGTTTACTGTGTCTTCCTGTATGTCCCATCTGTTCTTTCCTTTCCCCAGCCCTTAGAGACAAGAAAGCTATATATCTATTCATAATCCCGAAGCTGGTTACATTAAAAAAAAAAAAAAAAAAAGTTTGTTTCCCTATCAGGTTCAAGAAGGAAAGTTTCTCTTTACTTTTTATGTTGAGAAAATATTCTTGGTTTATTTGGGGCAGGGAAAGCCACAATACTAAAGATAAAGAAACTAGCACAATTTTATTTTCTATACGCAACAGCAACCCAACAGGAATGATCTTGAATTTTAGACAATTTACCTTTATTTTTCAAATCATTCAGACTGCACGTTTTCTAAGACTCGATAATGTGTACTCTGCACTTAACTACAGTGACAATAAAATCCCAACCGTGTTTAAGCGTCTCAATTCCACTAAGTCCTGTTTCCCTGCAACTTCTCTGTTCTTAGCCTTATTACACAAATAAATCCTTTAATCCTGAAAACCAAAAAGCTCCCAAACCCACATTTCCCCTCCTAAATTTGGTGCCAAAAATAATCACCGGCCAACAACTGACCTGAACTTTTATTAGATGAATATATTTAACTGAAAAGTGCTGATGCAGTAACTGGGCATGTTAAGAAATATAGAATATATGAACCTCATTACCGTTCTAAAACGTAAAATATTCTGAATTCAAAACACAGCCAGCATGCTAATGTACACTGTCTGCTGTGAGGGCCTAGACACAATGACAGCTGGATAGCAATGAGCAACAACCACACAGAGCGACCAGACCTTGGTTTCTAATACCTTTTTCTAATAAAAGGAATAGCACTCCTTGGGGAAGTGACTGAATCCTGGGCTGGGGCAGGGAACACACAGATGGTGCCAGAAGGTAGGGAAATGCCCCCTACAAAACCACGGCACAAGAATCCAACCAAAAGAGCTCCCAGTGGCCAAAGCTGGAACAATCTGAACAGCAAAATAAATACTGATAATACTGATTATAGTCTAATATTCCTTATAACAGCCTAAAGGAGAAATACCTTTGAGTCCATACTGACAGAAGGGAATAAATAAATGAGTTACAAGAGACAGCTTTTCCTTACAGAAGTTGTCTAATGAATGCACAAGAATAAGTGGGGGGGATCACCACTAGAACATCACTGTAACAAAATCTACCCTTAAGCCCTGAATTGATGGGAGGTTTAAAGAGAAAAAGGATATTTGCACAGGTATGGGCAGATTAACCTTGCCCAAGGTCACGTCTGGCCTTTCCCCTGGCTCCTGAGAAGAAATCACAAGGTCCTTGGAAGGTCCTGCCTGGGAAGTGTGTCTGTTTACCTCCGAGCTCTCAGCTACTCCAGATTGTCTAAGTCTAACAGTGTGACTTAGAATGTAGGTCTTGGGTCACAGTGTCCACTCGAGCTTCAGAGGGGCTGGAGACCAAGTCAGCCGCATGGACAGGCAGCCATCTGTGCAACTGAGACCTGATAAATATCTGGACATGAAGGCTGAGGTGAGCTCCCCTAGCTGGCAATACAACTCCAGGGAGAGGCCGGTGGGAAGCTTCACACTAGGATCTCACCTGGAACCTGCCCTACGCCTCTCCTCTTCCCTTGGCTGACTTAATTCTAAATCTTTTCACTCAGTAATCGCTAACTGTGAGTTCTGAGCCCTCCTCGAGAATTAGTGAACCTGAGAGTGGTCTCAGAGACCCTGGAAATTGTAGAAGTTCAGGGTCATCTTGCAGATCCCTGAGATTTACACACCATCTCAAAGTATCGACCTCAAAATAAATATTTATTCACTGTAAAAGGAAAAAATAGTAACTTCATGATGGACAAACCTGGCAGACAACACCTTAACCCGGTGATAATGGTTAGTATCACCTGTAATACGTTTATTGCATGGACCCCAATATGACACAGTGCAATGGGTACCTCATTTCTAGCTTCATCACCTCTGCCTAATGAAAAAAGCATCAGGCCCAAACAGAGTAAAGGACCAGCCCTCTTCAAATGCATCATGAAGGGCGAGGAAGGCTGAGGAACTGACCCAGACTGCAGGAGACTAAGGAGTTGTGACAACCAAGTGCAGCCTGGGAACCCCGACAGGATCAGCAGTAGGGTGCCGGTCAAACCCAGATAGAGTCTGCAGTCCGCTCCCTGGGACTGTGGTGGTGATCACTCCTTAGCTTGGGTAAACACACTATGACTATGGGAGATGTTAATATGAGGGGAGGCTGGGTAAGGGGTTCTACAGCTGGAAAACATGAGTGAGTGACAATATTCATAGAGTATGGCCAGCCAGGGAATCATTTTTTCTGCAAGTCTGAAATTCTAATACAATAAAATGACAAGGGGTGAAGGGGAAATAGAGTTGGCCCCAAAGATTCTGGAAAAGGGATCATTTCTCTATCTCTTGGCTAACGACAAGACTTCATGAGGGCTTTTCAAGAAAGATATGTGGGGGGCAAATATGTAAGCCCTCATAAATACAAGAAAATTCTACTACATAAACATTTGGAGGTTGGAGATTATTTCCCCTTAAAAAAGTCTATAAAATGTTTAAATCAGGGCACCTGGGTGACTCAGTGGGTTAAAGCCTCTGCCTTCAGCTCAGGTCATGATCCCAGGGTCCTGGGATTGAGTCCCACATCGGCCTCGCTGCTCCGCAGGGAGCCTGCTTCCTCCTCTCTGCCTGCCTCTCTGCCTGCTTGTGATCTCTCTGTCAAATAAATAAAATATTTTTTTAAAAAATGTTTAAATCAACGAGTGTATAAAAGTACTCTGACCACCACTGGAGGATGCAAAGAAACCAGTTCATTACTTTGAAAACTGATGAAGAAAAACGCTCAGACATTTATCCTGACATTCCAGTATGACTGTACCTCAAGGTAAAGAATAGATGAGAAGCTGCTCTTTACAGAATTCTAGCTAGTAATGAAATGAGAAGTATCTTTTGCAAATCTTCAGGAATTAATAAATCCAGTCATGGTCATCAGTGGCTGCTAACAACACAGGACAGACCAACCACCAGATGTCATGGACCCACCACTGGCAAATGACTTTCATCAACCCCCAACGGCTGACACATCAGATCAAGCCTCTAGGTACTGATTTACAGGAACCCCAGATGACAGAGGAAACCTGTTAAACTAAAAAGGATGCCATTGGCCAAATCTAGACTGGCCAACTTGACAGAGCAAGCCACCTGGTTTCTTCCACAAATACACCAGCGAGAAATGGAGAGACCTATACATGTTAAAGATACTTAAGAAACATACCAACCAAGAGTAAGAGGAGACTTACTTGTATTCTGATTTAAGCAGACAATTACAAGAAACATTTACAGCTTTTGAGACAACTGAAAATTTGAACACTTATTAGACATAAAGGAAATACTGTTATTTTTTAAAGAAGTGATAACATATCACTATGCTTTTTAAGTGACCTTCTTATTAAAAGATAATGCTGAAATATTTATAAAAACAATTAAAAATAAAACCCCCTCTATAGATGACTCCAAAGCAATGCAATCAATGTGACACACACTGTATCCCTGAATGCTCAGTGTTTTTCTTCCTTCAAATGGAGATTACCTATCAGGCTAAAGGCAGCTGGCTCCCTTCATGGACTTTGCCTAGTCTGTGCTGAATTCTTTCCCTCTACCTATCTCCTCTCCCCTCCACCCACACCTTCTTTTATTATCTCTCCAAGTGCCATCTGGACACTTCCTGAACTGCCCTGAACCCTTCCCCAGTCACCATGAACAGGGACATGAATGACATCCATTATAGGGCAGTATCTGCTTTAAGACAACTAATTAACAGAAAATAGGGAGTGAAAGAAGCCATGCTATTACAAACAGAAAAACATAAAATTGTATTGCTAACCCTACACTGTATAATTCATTGTTGTATAATTCACTGTACATTTTCTCTGATTATAGAAATCACTATTCTTTTTTTAAAAACATTTATTATTTCAGAGAGAGCGTGTGCAAGCAAGCAAACACATGCGTTTGTGAAAGGAGGGACAGAGAGGAAGAGAGAGAATCTCCAGCAGACTCACTGCTGAGCGCAGAGACAGACTCAGGGCTCTATCCTACCACCCATGAGCTCAGGAGCTGAGCCAAAACCAAGAGTTAGACACCTAACCAACTGAGTCAACCAGGCACCCTACCCTTTGATATTCTTCAAACAAATTTTAGGTAAAGAGACACATGAAATATGCAGAAAATGGTATTAGAAGAAATCACTATTACCTTTACAAAAGGATTGCCACAGTTTCTTTAAGCATCGCATCCCACTACCCCACTTTCTGGACAGATATTTGAAGCCACAAACCAGCAGGTCTGGTTTGGTCCACTGTTTTTTTTGTTTTGTTTTGTTTTTTTAATTCCAAAAAAAACTGCTGACATTTTAAAATGACAAGATTTCAACAGAACTCGGAACTAGGTACCCATAATGCCACGTGCCACCCAGGGGCTGGCTCCATGGAACCCTGCTCCTGGGACAGCTGCAGTCTTGTCCCCAGGCTCTTCCCAGTGCCAAGGTAAGGGGCCAGTGGCCAGTTAATTTCAAGTTCACACTTCTGCTCTTCTGACCCCTGACCAGTCTATTCTTTGTCCTAGCAGCCTGGTAGGTAGCAGACACTGGAGTCTGCGACCACTAACTTTTGCACAGCATTTTTAGATAAATAAAACATGTCTATACTGATGCTGGAAATCTTGCTGATAATTTTTCCTTAATGGATAATTTTTTCTTAGGTTCACATAAAACTAAGGAATTGATAAAGGGCATTTTGAACATAAAAGTAACACAAAGAACATAGAAACACCTATTCTGCGTGTTTCTTCTGTCCTTAATTAAGGCCCAGGGTGACTCAGATCCCTCAATCCCCCAGCACACACAGCCTCACCTGCGTTGCTCCCAGTTCCTTTCTGCTTTTTTTTCTTGGCTAGTTGAATGGCTCGGGAATCAGTTCTTGCTGAGCCCCCACTTTCCTGAGACCAAAGAAAAGCATGTCAGTCACTCGTTCCAAATAGTAAAGGAAGGGTAGCAAAGGAACTACGGAAATGTACTAAGTCTGCCTCCTGAACAGAGTTGAGTCCAATAATCTCTGAGGATCTCCAGCAAAGGTTCACGGAGAATCAAATGTTACATCCAATTACAGTGACAACTAAACAGAATGAGAGTTGGAACAATATACATAATTTTATTATCCAGAGAAGCAAAGTTTATTCCTCCAAAGTCTAAACATATTAAAATACTTTACACAGAAACTGGTATAAAAGGAGTTACATACTTCTCTGCTGTCTGAAACAAGCAGCCTTCCCTTGCTGGTTCAGGGTTAATTAACTGCAGCACTTCTCAACATTTTCCAGAACATGCCACACTACACTTGTACGGCAGACCCGGGGAGACCCTATTTCATAAACCCACTACAGAGGCCGCTCTGGTGTCAGGTGCCGGACTCAAAAGTTATACACGCCAAAACAAGAACTACATTACTGAATTCAGAAAGTTTATGGAGGTATCCAAACAGTATTCAAATGGGACTTCACTTCTGTAAATTTGTCAATGTTTGATAAGAAAAACATCTCAATGCTTATCACTACAAAAAGAACATCCCTCAACAGCTTGTGGCATACCTGTAACCCATTCACCACACACCATCTGTGCTCAGAGAATCGAGGCAGCCCAACGTCACACAGCTAGCGAGAAAATGAACAAGGAGTCAGGATCAAGGTCATGGTGGCTCCTCCTGCCTCCACCCACAGTCACAGCTCTGGAGATGCAGTGACACCAAGGAACTATGGTTTCCCAAGGTATCAAGGCCCTCCACACAGGCCCTGCCTCCCCAGTGACCTCTGAGTCTCGGCCACCTCCCCATTCTGGCCCAGTCACCTGGGTGGCTTAGCAACTGCTCTGGCCACCTGAGCAAAGGCTGGCAAGTATGGCTAGGCCACCGACAAGTGAGAGCCATCAGAAAAGTTATGACAGACTGTGCTTCTCTCAGACTGAAAGGCTCATGGTAGATGGGTTACCACATCCCTCACAACTGATTCAAATTCAAATTCGAAGGATTTATCTTTTTTTTAAAAAACTGTGGTAAAATAAGATTTAACATTTTGAATATAAATATCACCATCTAATTTAACCTGTGCCACAAAGAAAAAACCTAGTTGATCACTCCCATCTGAGACTGAGGAAATAATCAGACTCTCCCCCAAGAATCTTTAATTAAATTATTTTAAATTAAATTATATTAAATGTACTAACTGATATAAATATAATTAAAGTATATTAACTGCCGAGCCTCAAAATTGGAGAAGTACTCTTAAAACCCTCCAGAAACAAAAGCTCACAAACCACTCCCTTTTTTCCTTGTTAATTCTAATTTTTTTTTTTTTTTTTAATTTTTCTGCATGGTTTTAAAGTTTCCATTAAACCTGATGTCACGATTCCTCTTCCTCTGGCCATTAGTAAGTCTAAGGACCTGTTATTCCATGAAAAGCACAAAGGCAGAACATTTCAACATTACGAAATACCCCATTTTTTTTTTTCAAGAAAAGAAACACATCATCACAGAATCACAGAACTCAAAAGGACCTTAGAAATCATCTAGCCAAACCTCCTCATTTTAGAAATAAATGAGAACTTAAGGCTCAGACAGGATAAGTGATTTCCTTAAGGTCGTAAAACCTAGTCAGTTCCAGACTCAAGATCAGAATTCAGATTTCCAGACTTGTAGTCCAGGGCTCCATCTTTTCGCAAACCAGTAAGAAATGTCTGCACATGAACGATTAATCCAGAACATCCTCAAAACTGAGTGTAAGAGAAGCGAGTTATGCGGTGGCGACTGAATAGAGCACTTCATACCAAATAGAAGCTGCCGGTCCCCGCACTGAACCCCGTGTCTTTCTGAGGACTGTGCTTTTCCGCAGGGCTGCAGAACACCGACCTGGGAGCCCCTCGGCTCCGTTCCTGCTGCCTTACAGTGTCGGGGCTGGAAGGTGAGGCCGGTTCCACTTTGATTGGAGCCAGCAACTCTGGGCCACCGGTGTCTCCAGGTGGGGGGCTCGGAGAGGTCAGTGTGGAGGTGGTGTCTGCTAAATGACCACCTGCGGTCAAAGCCTGTGGGTCCGGACTCAAGTTCTTCACAGGCAGAGCTACCAAACAACCTAAAGCTCCTGCGTTTACGGTCTGTACGTCATCCATACTGAAGCTGCCTTGTTGAAGAACGGTGGCTGCTGTCCCAAGAACGAGAGGGCTATCCAGGCTTGGAGGAATGTCACTATGGGCCACCAACACCAGTGGGTCCATGGGCCCCAAGGAACTATTATTAGCGGGAAGGTTCCCTCCGAGTGAGGCGCTCACAGAAGTAACATCAATAGTCAGGATGCCAGAGTTCAGTGCCTCGTCTGAGGCCCCCGCCGCACTCCCACCATCACCAGGTGCGTCAGAGAAGAGCGCTGCCAGGTCTAGGTTATTCAGCTCACTTTGGCCTGGGCTGCCAAGTTCACTGCTATGCGTAAGAGAACTCGGAGCTCCAAGCTGAGGGAAGAGATCTGAAAGAGAAATGAACACTCCAGTTGTCTTATGCACTTTGAGCAGACTCAGAGGTTTTGTTCATGCTGAGACGTTACGCAGTAAGCAAGCCATCAAGGTAACATCTACTCCTCCTGCCCGGGCCACCTGGTGCATCGAAGGTGGCCATAGGCTGAAGAAAGGCATTGCTTGATAACCTATGAGGCATTCTAAGTACACTCCCTCAAATCCTTGAGCTCACAGGGATTCCTCCAGACAGGAAATGACCTGAGAGTCTAAATAATACTTCCTAAAGTCACATCAACTTGTAACAGAAAGAGGGAAGAATTGAATCCATGTCTTTCTGGCTTCAAACGCTATGCTCGTTCTGCTACACAAGAAGTGCCCTCAGAAGCCTGTAAAACCTAACCCAGACCACAAATCTTCAGAAGTCAGACACAAGCTGAAACTCCGGCTCCAGGATATTTTTGGAGTCGGCTGGTGTCAGCTCACGTCTCATCAAAATCTATACCCCACTCCACAACTAGCTGCCATTCCAAAACAAATTTGAGTCATCTGGGGGTGATCAGTGGGTAAAAAAACTGTCCTGTCTGGCATGCTCTGGAATAAATGCCCTGGCTCAAGGTCCAAACCCTACGGACTATAGAGAACTAAGACATCAGCCCCCCAGGCACTCTGGAGTTGTGTCCCCTCCCTGGAGCATCTCCTGATAGGCTCTCCTTCTCCCCCCACCACCGTAGTTCTAAACTCAAAAACTCTTTCCTTGATCATCCTGAAGGCAGGGAGTCTATCTCACCAACAATGTCTCTTTAGCACCATGCACTGGCACCTCGCCCCTAAGCAGTACTTAATAATCACAGAAAAATTAATTCTAGTAAATCCCTCTTTAGTCTTGATTGTTCATTCAGCCTCTGTTGTTGGTCATTTCACTCATCAAATATTTGATTCTCTTATCACTCAATTATAGTAACTTAAACAGACTACCCTTGGAGGAATAGTGAGCATTAGCATACTTTTACAGAATTTCACTGAACGGTGCAGGCTGGCTTAGTCAATGGAGCACGTGACTCTTCATCTTGGTTGGGGCTGTGGGTTCGAGTCCACATTGGGTGTTGAAATTACTTAAAAATAAAATCTTAAAAAATTTCAATGAATATTCAAGTCAGAAATTTATACACCAGTGAACCCAATCAATCATCCCAAATCCCAGGACTGTTCAAGCAGCAAGCAAACAGGAAGATGGGAGTATAAAATATTTGGGTAAGGGAGCCAAACAGGGCCCTCAAGTTAATCCTTCCCAAGAAATTTGTAGCTGAAGCTTCTAGAACATGCCAGTGCCTGGCCAGAGGGAAAGGCTCTCTCAGTTCTTTGGTTCTATTCCTCCTGCACCAACTGTTAGCTAATCCCAAACTCATACTTTTTAGTGGTGGACACCATGTAAGAGTGCCTACTATAGTTTTAATGCAAACCTATGAAAGAAATCCACAACAGACCCTTCCAAACTAAATTAATAATCAAATCCCGATTATTATCTTCTTCAGTTGTCATTACTACTTCAAAGCTGAAAAATAGTATCGATATATTATTGCTTCTTCACTAAGTATCTCAGTACCAATAAAACAACTTTAAAAAATGGCAGAGATTCAGAAATTAAAAATGGAAAACAGTCTCTATTACAAAACCTCCCAAAAATTTCCTTCACTATCTTGATAATAAAAAAATTAGTAATAATCATCTCAGTGCAAACAGACACCAATTTGTTCATAAATTTCCTATTTAGCCTTGAAATCACAGATATCTTCTGGACACCTGCTATTGCAAGGCCCAGATATTCAGAAATCATTAAACATTAATTAATAGAGCATCTAGACCAAGGTTATAAGCATGACCTCGCTCCAGCACTTCCCAGTGTATGGGACCTCAGACAAGTCCCTCTCCTATCCACCTCGGCTTCATTAGGAATGGAGCAGTGAAGATGCCCCTGCCCCAGGATCACTGAGAGGGAACTCCAACACCCAGCCCAGGGTCTAGCAGAGCCCCTGGCAGCGTCAGTCCACAACAAGGCAGATTCCCAAGCACCCGTTTCTCACAAGGCTATAGCACTGGGACACTACCTAGTTATCCACCCCTGACCACAGCAGAGAAGAATGACACGCAAGTCAGTCAATGGCACATTATAAATTCTGAGCCTGGGAAACACAGGCACTACAGAGCCCCTAAGAGGCTCTCACATGGAGACAGAGACTAAGGAAACTTGTGTGGAAGGGATGATGCTGTTGCTGAGCTCCGAATGAACCAAGCCAGGAAAGGGAGAAGAGCAGGAGCACAGAGAGCCGGGTGCACAGTGTCCCATAGTGCTAGCTCAGAGCCAGGAGGGGCGAGGGCTAAGTTCTAGAGACAGAAGTAGCAACCCGACCACTGAGGGCCTCTCAAGACCAGCCTACAGCTCCTGACTAGACTCTGTGAGTTGAGGTGACAGCCTCTCATATGAGTCCTCATCAACACCTAGAGTTCAGAAGGGCAGCTTCTTAAATCCCAAGCGAAATGGCAATTACTGTTAGAGCCAAAGGAGTGACGTGACCACATCTGTAACAGGATGGGAAGAAGCCAGAGGAAGGATGTTTCCTTCAGAACACTACACAAATTCTCTTCCATGTTTTAAATATGAAAAACCAAAGCTCAAGGACCTGTGCCCTAGCCTAGATCCCATGGCTGGGAAGTAGCTGTGCCCCAACGCTCCTGCTGCCTGTCACACAGGTGGCAGGGAGGCAACCCACTCAAATGACTCTAAGGCTAGCGAGGGCTTCCCCTGCCAGGAGCAGCAACCCCACTGCGCCCCAGAGAGCAGGATGGTGCGAGCTCCAGGTCAGAGGCAGCGCATGGCTGCCCACACCCCTCAACAGTCTGCCCACAGGGCTGTGCGTGCAGCTTGAGAGGCAGACCATCATCCCATGTCACCACGCAGCCAGATGACCAGGCTCCCTGCTCCAGACTACTGCTGTGGTTTTCCCACCCTTCTCCCCTACCCAGGCCCTCAAGCCCCGCCCCCTGCTCACAAGGTGAACCACCACTCTGCACAACCAGACAGAGAGGGGTGAAGACAGAAACAAGGGAGGGGTAGGCTCAGAATCCAGGACAAAAGTCACAGAGAGAGACAGACTTAGGAGACACATGCTAGGAAAAGCCAACCAAGAAAAACACTGAAAATAAATAAACAAATAAATAAATAACTGAATGCTCCTCGAGGGAAGCACTTCAGAGGTGAGGGATTAGGGTCAAAGGCAGAAAGTGGCAGAAGACAGTCCAAAAGATGACACTAAGCTTGGCAGCCATGGTTTATGGGCCAGTAAGACTTTGTTGTGCTCAATTAATTTAATCCATAACCAGACAACTTCTGAAGGGGGCGGAGGAAGGAAGGAAGGACACACTTTAGCTTCTCTGACACATGTCAAGCAGACGCATCTCTGCAGTGCCCTAAGAGAGATGTAAACGAGCAGACCTTGGCGCCGGCTATGCTGCCGGACCACATGGGCCTTCATGCTGTGCTTGGAGGTGAAGAGTCTGTTACAGCTGGACACTGGGCAACGGCTTTTCGGAGCACCCACGTCCTGCAGGTGTTTCTTGGAGTGAATGTAGAGGCTGCTACGGGCAGAGAACCTGGCACAGCACCCTGGAACAAAAAGAACAAATGAGTGGTAAACCTGAGGATCCCCAAGGAACCAGTGCTGACATTTCCTCCGTTGGAATCGTAAGACAATGCATGCCATGCTCCAACCACTGACCAGGGACAGACACATAGCCCTTTGGGCAACATCACAAATGTGGGGCCAAGGCAGGGTGCCCCAACGCCAGGCCTCTTTGGCATGCAGGTTATGCCAGCTGGAAGCAACCAAGGCCTAAAAGACTCGGAAATAAACTTTGACATCCCTCTGCCTACTGCCTAAAAGAATTTAGATGGAGGACATACTCCAGGAAAAAAGCTACCACCACAGATAACTATGTTATGATATGAACTAGGTATAGGGGACAGGGAGGATCGAGCAAGGCCTGTTTGAGCAAAGTCTGCTCTGTGTCACATTGTTTCTGTGAGCCCAGGAAACACCTGTTCACCAAACATTTACTCATTTCCATTTTCCTGTAAAATGCTTTCCTTTCCTCTGAAAGTCCCAGGTCCCTATCCACCCTTCTCTTTAGCTCAGGATGACATATATAATTCATTTTACCTGTCTCTGAAGATCATGTCTGTGTGGGTTTTCCATATATATAAAATTAAATTTTATTTTCCAGGGGTGCCTGGGTGGTTCATTGAGCATCTGCCTTCGGCTCAGGTCATGATCCCAGGGTCCCGGGATTGAGCCCTGCATCGGACTCCCTGCTCAGCAGGAAACCTGCTTCTCCCTCTCCCACTCCCCTGCTTCTATTCCCTCTCTCCCTGTCTCTCCCTCCTGTCAAATAAATAAATAAAATCTTTAAAATAAATAAACGATTAAATAAATCTTATTTTCTGTTAATCTGTCTCACATCAATTTAATTTAGTCCAGCGAGAACAATCTTGAAGGGTAGAAAAAAATTCTTCCTCCCCAACACAAGGAATTAATTTTGAAAGCAAACTCCATTTAAAAGGAGACAGGAAGTTCCCCATCAGTTGTGTAGAAGACACATAACCTTGACAAGTTAATGCTGGGCCTGTTTCTTCACCTGCTACACATGGCTGCTGGACGAAGTAAGTTAAATTCAGTGTTAAACAACTCCTTAAAAGTTCAATCACTAAAAATTTGTACCAATTACCTGTACTTAGGTACTACTAAAAAACTGGAACCCTATGACATTTAGAGTTGGAAACTATCTCAAAATATCACCAAAGCCAATTCTTCTCATTTTACTACTGAGAAACTGAGGCCCAAAGGGACAAGCAAATGACCATAAATCAAAGCACAATTGGAGTCTGGAAGTGGAGTAGTCTTGCTGATTACTCAACAGCTTAGCCAGAATCAGTAAGACCATCAACCTGCACATGTGTGTCAGAGGGAAAACAAGACAAATTACAAAGTATCACCACCTTCCTCTTGGCCTAATCTCCCACTGTTGGAGCTCTGTACCACAGGGACAAGAGAGGGAAGCAGGGGTCTAAGTAGCTACAAGCTTGTGACCTGGTAGGGATGTGAAAACCAGCTGTCTTAAAAAAGGGCAAAATAAAACCAGTGCTAATGCCATGGAGTGTTCTACAAGCAGAAGAAACAGTGTACCTCTTGAGAGAAAAAGGTTTCAAGAGGTAGGTAGCATTTGAGGTGACTGGGTCTTGACAAATGGTAGGGGCCACACAGCAGAGCAAGGTGTACAGGCTGAGCAACTGCCACCCAAGGCATGGAGGCCACCAAGCAGGGTGGGCAGACCTTGCACTCTGGAGCAACTCTACTTCAGACCCTACTGGCCATGTGGCCTTATTTATTCTTTCTGGGTCTCCTTTTCCTTTTCTGTAAAGTGGGAATGACACACGCCTCACAGGGCTTATGAAGACTATAGGTAAACAATTCCAACCTACAGAATGCTCGCGCAGTGCCGGAGAAAGTAGAATGAGCATCACTGCACTTGTGGAAGCTTCTTGGGATAGCGAGGTGGAGCTGCTGGAGTCTAGGGCCTGGGGGAGGCCTATTTTAGGCAAAGAGGCTATGAAGACAGAATACAGCCAGATGACTAAGGGTTCTGGCTGCCTCTGAGAGGCGTTTTGAACTTACTTCACTTTCAAACAAAGCTTCCAGCTTGTTTCCAGGTCAGGCTCAGGAGAGAACATTTGGAAAACACACAAGAGGACAGATGCCTCCAGGTTCATCCCTAGATGCACCGTCTACAATGTGTCCCTTGCTCCACATGGTGCCCAGGGGTTCTCTATACCTCAGCCCCCTTTCCAGATGGGACACCTCCACACACACTTAAGGAGGCACAGCACAGAGGAGAGGTGCTGAAAACACTTCTTACCAAACTGCTTTGCCAAGGACAGGAGTCAACCACAACAGGGATGTCTGCCACACTTGTTAGCAGTGGTTTCCATTTTTAAAAATATTTGTTAACTCGACAGAGAACAAAACATACTTCATTTTCACTTGTACATCCTTTGATGGCCAGGAATGTGACTGCTTTTCCTCTGTGGTTTTAGGGCCACTTCAAAGATGAGGGAAAGAGGCAGAGAGATCTTGAGCCACTTGTCAGAGGTTACAAAGTGACTTAAGTGGCAGGGTTGGGACTGGGGTCCAGGAAGCCTCAAGCCTTCAGTTACCCCTCTTCAGCATACACCAATCCTTGAGCCCTGCATCCACTTCCACGGCTTAGCTCATCCCCATGTGGACCAGCCTCACTTCCAGCCCACCTCCTCACTGAGCCCAGCAAGCAGTACATCCCTGCCTCCTGAGCATCTGAACTTGGAAAGCCTGAGGGCACCTAAAATGCAGCACATCCTCTTCTTCCAACCACTGGCCCTGTGTGCCCACCTCAAGTGAGATGCTGGCCCTAACTACTGCTTCACCCAAAACCCCTACTCCCAATTCTATCACCAAACGCTGCTGGCACACTGTCCAATTCCTATCTCTCACCTGTGCATTCTCTCCCTTCCCACTGCCAAGCCCCAGTACACGCACAAGCCATCTCCTCCAGGAAACCAGATTAAGCCCTAAACTCAGTCATGGTCCCATCACACTCCTGCCCTGAACACCCAGCCTGCTGCTCTCACCATTCTGGGAGATGCTCCTACACTGGCCTCTTCTGCCTCCTTTCTAACCCTGGAGAGCTCCGCCTCCTTCTTCAGCCAACTGGGAGACCACTCCCATGCCCCCATGCTCTAGAAGCAGCCTGGGTGACCGGTGTGTCCCCACAGCACCCTATAGGCACTGGTCTACCTGGTGTGCCCCAACTGGAGCTCTGATGACAGGAGGAACTATGTCTTGGTTAAACCACCTATATTACCTTCATGACATTCTAGGAACTGGTCTTGGCTTCAAACTGGTCTTTATTATCTCTTTTCCAGATAAGGAAATTAATGCCCAGAGAAGCTGGCCTGAGTTCATCACCTGAGGGAAGGGGAAGCCAGGAAGGAGACTCGCAAGTACACACTGACCTGCTCTGCCCTCCCACACACCTGCAGCAAATATAGTAGGCCAGCACACACAAGCCATGGAGCGTACTTCTGCCCACGAATCGTGCCTTCACTGTGCAGAGAAAAAAACATCTGAATGCCCTTTTCAAAAAGCTAGCATAACTTGACTGCTGTCCAATCATAGCATGCATAGATAGCTACCATTTACTGAATCCATGATAGGTGCCAGACGCCAAAACAGGACTTTCCAACAGGTCATTTCACCTACTCCTCACAACCACCAAATTAAACAGGTAATAACTAGAGCCACGAATCTAGGGAGTGCACTTCAGAGCCAAGAGCCAAACCAGGTCTGGTCTGATTCTGAAATCTGTTCTTTTCAATACACTACTCCCAAGATAAAAGAATTAACTAAAAACCGGCCAATTAAATCTAATGCTGCAACTTACACTCGCCTTGCCTTGAAGCAAATAAAACTTACCTTTAAACAACTTAAACTTACAACGATGCAGTCACATACTAGTTTACAGCTCAAAGTAATCTATTAAAATCTACCTTCCACGGGACACTCGAATGGCTTTGTGCCCAGGTGGGTGATGCTATGGCCTTTCAGGTGCTCTGCTCTGGTGAATGACTTCCCACAGCCTTCAACGGGGCAAGTAAACCTCCGGTCGTCATCGTGTTTCCTGCCGGAAGAGAAAAACAGTGATTTTTCACTCACACAACCCGGAGACACCAAACCTCAGAAGTGATTCTTTGTTTAAGATTCTGCAAATTACAAAGTCTTAGCATTTAAAGAAAATGATCAGCACATTTCAGAAAATCTTAATTCTTTCTAACCCATGTGGACAGGTTTGCAATTTAGCTAATCCTGCAATTAGAAATTCTACTTTAATGACAAGGCTGACTCAAAAGTCAGACATGACAATTAGTACTGCTTCAATCTAGGAACAAATGGCTGGGTCCCAAATGTATTGACAAAGCTACCTCCAATGTTGAGAGATTCTGCTAACAAACAAGGTTTCCAAGCTGCAGAGGGCAAAGAAAAGCATGCACAGAAAATCAATGGCAATGCTAAAAGGACCCCCTCAAGTTCATGCACAAATACAGTACTTTTCTAGTAATGTTGTTATACTTAAACCCCTCAAATCCCCAGCTGTGCAAGCATGGACAAACCACCCAACCTCTCCGTCCCAATGCAAACCAGGGAGAGTAGGAACATCAAAGTCTGAAGTAAGAACATCAAAGCCATGGTCATTGTGACGGTTAAAGGAGAGAAGTTAAAGGTAAAGTGCTGAACAACACCTGCACATAGACAAAGCCCCCCAAGGACATCGTTACCAGTATGGAAAGTTTATAATGACATCAGGAAAGCTGCTTCCACAATGTTACCTTTTTTAAATATTGAATTTTGTATAAAGTACATAAACTACATTTAAAAACAAGTATAACACAGAAAAACTGACATTAGGTGATCAGATGCTGCGTGGTTTTCTTTTTACAGCTTTCTGAACTTTCCAAACTATCTACAATGGGCTCCTTTCCTTATAACTTAAAAAAATCGACAGATATTTAATCCACAGGCTTCTGCTACTGACAAACAACTAACTCACTCATTTTCTATATGGGTAATTCAAGTGAAATGTAAAGATTACCTTTTGTGTCGCAGGAGTTTAGACATGCTGGTAAAGGTCCAGCCACAACTGTCAGAGTCACAAATAAAAGGTCTTTCACCTTAGAAAACAAAAAAATTATGCCACGTAATCATAAATGCAAGCTACCACAAAGGCAAATCTTAAGTACAAATGCTGTATTCTCCAGCTCATTACCTGTATGACTTCTCAGGTGAATTTTCAGGCGACAAGCTTTGTCATATTGTTTGCTGCACCCAGGAAAGGAGCAAGAAAAGAGTTCTTGTTCCCTGAAGTGAGCTCGGTTATGGGAAAACAGAGCACTCACTGTGATGAATGTCTTCTCGCAGCCTGAACAAAGAAAACACAAACCCTGCTCACTGGTGTGACAAAAATCACATACCACAGCTAAACTAGTCACCACTCCAGGACACCATTCACACTGAAGCAAACAAGAAAATGAGATAGAAGCAAGTCCAGAAAGTTACAACCACTGTTATAACCATTGACAACTGTCTTTGTAGCGGTGGCTAAGGGCAGCCAGCAAGCACAGGCAGGCCACCTGCTGTGCTATGATTTAGCTATGAAGGCGTGATCAAGGGAAAGTCCTCCAATCACAGCCACATGCTTCCCGTTTCCACAGCACATTATTTCTTACATTTTGTGAACTCAAATGTCAATGCTGTCTGTGTGAGGCCACGAAAAACCCAACAAGAGATATTAGATACTAAGGAACAAGGATTCTGTCTGGGAGGGCTGAACCTGAAGGGCCACAAACCATTGTTCTATCTGAGACTTCTTATTTGCCCTTGCACGTGACGCTGTGTCCTCTGCAATTACAAATGTCCTCTTTGACATCCTCTGCAAAGGGCAGCAGCCCCCACTGTCACCTGGCTTCTTTTCCTTCTGCTTATCTCACCAGGATTCCCTGCTGTCAAAGGAGGCTCCCAGAGTCATCATTCACATGGCCTTTTCCTTCACTTCCATCTTCAACCCCACTTGAGCCACCAGAAAGGAACCTACCTCAGCAATCCCCAAACTTTCCACATCAATAGCTCTCCTTTGACAAAAAGGTTCAGTGTTTAAATAGAGTAGAAAACACCAGGTTGCAAGATTCCTATCTTTGAGGCAGCTCTTCCCAGAACCTGTAACATGCTACCATCGTGCCTATAAACCACCAAGCAGATACACGCTGCACATCACCGCCTCAAAGCACTGAGCCCCAGGAACCCTACTTTTCCTAGCAACACTCAACTGGGAAATGCTCCTCTTCCTAAATGCCCCCAAATCATCCTGCTCCTCCTCTTTGGCATAAATCTGCTTTCCCCTCCCACCCCCCTCATTCCCTATTTTGGGCTTTGGTGCATTCACACACTCTAAGAGGTAAATCTCTCTGCCTTACCAAGAACCACCCTCCCTGCAATCAACAGTCAAGCCCTTTGATCCTGCCTCTGCCATCTTTCTTACAGGAACCCCTCACCACTCCCAATGCCTCAGCAAACTCAGGTCTAGAACATTTAGTGAGGCTTCACAGTTCCCTCCCCTGAACCCACCCATGTGGAACACCTCTGATCATCCAACCCAAAACTCTCGGGAGGATTTCATACCCTAAAGCAAGCTAAATCCCTCATCTTCCTAGTATTACACTTGAAATGATGCTCTTAATACACTTTACTCAGGAGCAGTCTATAAGCCAGATACATAGTGTATAATATAGAAAGGTTCTGAAACGGTCTAAACCTATGATCTCCACAAAGAGGGATGCACAAGCCCGTCCACAAGCATATGGGGAAAAAAGAAACTAGAACCTATTAATGTGTTTTTCATTTCACCCTTTCAAAATCCCTATAATTTAAGTATATTTTCTAACAAACACATTACTGTGAGAGCACTGCACATATATAATGCATCAATACACATGGAAGGCACATGCTAGGCACCTAGTTGAGGTTCTATTTTAAGGAAGAGGATGGAGAAGGTCCCTCCCCTCTACTGGGCCCTCCCACACTCTCCCAACTTCACTGGCCACCCCGCCAACACCATCACAGCCGGCACTCCCTGCCTTGGCTTTGCAGTGTCACCCACCAGCACTGCCTTTCACCCCAGCCCACGCAAGCCAACTCCTTCCCAGGTAGGAATCTTCTCTTCCTCCTGGGGAGGCACACTCTCCCTCTTGGAGCATGTAAATCTGCCTCTCCTGGTGGAGTTCACGGTTTTGGACCCTGCATTCCCTCCTACTGCAGGCAATGACAGAGGGGAAAGAACCCTTCACTGGATTTTATCCACATTACTGGGCCTCAGACTCTTCCTCTGTAAAATGATCATTTTTAGGACTTCCCAAAACTGTGAAGTCCAAAGAAGATAAAAGCATAAAAGGCCAGAAAACTGCACTGCACCACACACCTGTGACTATCCCCTGTGGGCCTTAGAGTGTTCCACCTGGCCAGACTCATCTGTGCCACCTAAGTATCTGATACCTTAATTTCTAACTGATGAAACCCCCAAGAAAACAGACACCTGACTCATAAGTCAAATCTCTAGTAAGATGCTTTATCACCTTCATTAACCTGAAGCACCTTAAGAGAGACCTGTTGCCCCCACCGTGGGGAAGGAAGGCTGTAATTACTTGTGCTTCCTTTGTCGAGATCCCCACAGCAGTACAGGGCTGAGGTGTCAAACCCAAATCACCTGGAAAGAACTGGAACATGAATACGAGAGTGCTCCGTTCCCGCCCCTCACTCTTGGCCCATGGAACTTAAATCCTGCCCAGATGAACAGCAGGGCGACGCCGCACCCACTGCGGGCGGCTGAATTTGCACCTGGGGCCCCGGGAGCCCCCCGAAGCCCGCCCGCAGGCCCGTGGCGCGCGGTTACCGGGAAAGTCACACTTGTAGGGCCTCTCCGGCTCGAAGTGGCTGCGCTGGTGGGAGCTGAGTTTGGCGTGCGTGGGAAAGCGCTCGGAGCACACCTCGCACTTGAACAAGTTCTCCTGCTCGTGGCCCTTCATGTGCGCCTTGAGGTTGTACACGGTGGTAAACTTCTTGCCGCAGCCGCCCACCGGGCAGCCGAAGGGCCGCAGCTTGTCGTGCGACTGCAGGTGCCGCTTGAGCTTGTAGGAGGTAGTGAAGGCCCAGCCGCAGCCGTCCAGCGGGCACTTGAAGGGCCGCCGGCCCTGGCTGCCGCCGTGCGTCAGCAGGTGCACCTTGAGCTGGTGCTTCTTGGCGAAGGAGAGCGCGCACTGCGGCTCGGGACAGCGGTAGCCCGGGGCACCAGAGCCCGGACCCTGGGGACCCCGGCGGCCCTCGGCCGGGCTCGCGGCCTCCTCGCCCGGCGGCGCGGGCGGGCCTCGGGGAGGCTGGCCCGGCTGCGGCGGCGCGGCGGCCAGCGTGAAGACGCCGTGATCGAAGCGCACCAGCAGGTCCTGGCTGTTAATGGTGACGGTGCCCGCGAGAGCCGCGCCGGACCCGGGGGCGGCGGCTGCGCCGCTGGGGCCAGGCTCGGAGTGGGTGATTGGGCTCGCGCCAGCGCCGGGCCCCACCTCCCGCCGCCCGGGGTCCTCGGCCGCACCGCCGCGCGCCACTTCCAGCAGCACCACGAAAGAGTCGCCACCGTCCTCGGGGGGCGGGGGGCTCGGCCCCGGGCCCGCCGACGCCGCCCGGGCCTCCCCGCACAGCGGCCCCGGCCCGCCATCTTCGGGGCCCCGGAGCAGTAGCAGGCGGCGGCGCGCCGGGCCCGGGCTGGGCGGTGGCCCCGGGCCTCGGCGGAGTCGGCCGGGGCCGCCGCCGCCGCCATGTTGGGCTCCGCGCGCGGTAGGGGCTGCGAGCAGCTTCGGAAGGTCCATCTTGGGCCCAGCCGCGGCGTCCCAGCCGCAGCCTCGGAGGAAGCGCGGTCCGCCCCGCCCAGCCGTGCGCGACGCCGTGCGGCCGCCGCGACGGGTCGACACCAAAGCCCGGCGCGGAGCACAGCCGGACTCCGGCCCGGAGCTGCGCGTGCGCGTGAGCCGCGGGGCGCCGCGCGGGGCCTGCCAGGCCGGGGGTGGTCTGCGCCACCCGGACGGGGTCCTGCGGGTGCTGCTCGCCGCCGAGCCTGGGGGTTTTAGCGAGCCCTGACCGTGCAAGCCGCATCCTGACTCCCTGCATGGGGAACGACGCTCGCCGGACTCCACGATCGTGTCTTCCATCTGGGTGGTGGATCGATAACAGCAGCCAACTTTTCTTTACGCTCTCAAGTGTGAGGAAACCGAGGCGCAGACGGCTTGAGTCCCTTGCCCGAGGTCACACAGCTGGGATCTGGGAGAGTCAGGATTAGGGCATCCGGCTGGGCTCACTGAACTGCGAACAGCCCAGCCGCCTGGCTCCCAGACCTTGGCGCGAAGTGCCCCCAGATCCTCCCCCGCCACCCCAACCCCTCCACGGGGACCCCTGCCTGTGCTCTTCCAAATTCCTTTCCTACCAGACTCTGTACTGGCCCACACCGCCTCAGCCCTTCCTCATTGTTGCCTGAACTCCCCACCCCACCAACTCAACCCGGATTCAGTCTGCAGTCCCTCTGCTGGGCCTCAGGTCACTGCCCTCCGGATGGGAGCCCCTCTTTCAAGCCTAGCTTCTTGGGAAAATAACACTGCAGCTGATCCGCAGCCTCCACCAAACCTTCCACCCAATCCAGTCTCAATAGGGCCGACTTTTGTGATCTTCCAAAAGTGCAAATCAGTTGTGCCCCAGTCTTCGGGACTCTCCATTGCTCCTATGGCTTAGGTAGTCTCCCCCACATTTCTCACCACTTCACCCCTCAATCTACAGTCCCAAGGCTCCACTATCTCTTTCCATTTCCTCCAGCAAGCCGAGCTAGTTCTGCTGGACTACACCCATGGTCCCTGCTCTTGGAAGACTGGCCTTCTGATTAGGTACACCCTCACCCAGCCCCTTATTCTCCACCCCGCAATTTGTTACCTCTTATAGCTCTCAATTGCTATTGTTTTATTTGCCCCTTTCCTGGATAAAATCCCCCTCTAGAATGAGACTCATTTAGGACAGGAACTGTGTTGGTCTCCTTCACAGCTGTATGCTCAGAGGCTAGTAGCAGAGACTCTCAGTAAATATTTATTGATGAATGCTGTATTGTTAAAAGTTCTTAATAAGATACATAAATATTGTTGAAACGAATAAGAAATACCATATTATATATGAAATGTGAAGTTATGCCCCCAAATATATTGTTCATCAGGAAAGAAAAATCTTTTCAATAAATGATTCTGATACAACTGGGTGTCCACACATGAAAGAATGAATTTGGACCCCTATTTCCCACCAGACACAAAAAGTAACTCAAAATGGATCAAGGACCTAAATGTAAGAGTGAAAACTATAAAAGTATTAGGAGAAAACAGTATATCTATGTGACCTAGGATTAGGGGATGGTGTCCTAGATATGAATCTAAAAACACAAGCAATGAAAGAAACAAATTGGCTTTGCCAAAACCGAAAACTCTTCTGGTCAAAGAACACCAAAAAGAAAATGAAAAAACAACCCACAGAATGGGAGAAAAATTTGCAAATCATATATCTGATAAGCAACTACTACCTGGAATATATTTTTAAAAACCCATGACTCAACAGCAAAAAGACAACCAAATTTAAAAACAAAAGATTTGAATCGACATCTCCCCAGAGATGTACAAGTGGGCAAGAAGCACATGAGGAGACGTCCAACATCATTACCCATCAGGGAAATGCAAATCAAACCATAAGGAGATAACATTTCTTATCTGCTAACAGCAATCATTTTTTTAAAAAGAAAAAGGAGTGTGAGGATGACAGAAAAATTGGAACCCTCATACATTTCTGCTGGGAATATAAAACAGTGAAGCCAGTGTGCAAGAAGGCTTGGCAGTGGGGCACCTGGGTGGCTCAGTGGGTTAAGACTCTGCTTTCGGCTCAGGTCATGATTTCAGTGTCCTGGAATCAAGCCCCGCATGGGGCTCTCTGCTTAGCAGGGAGCCTGCTTCCCCCTCTCTCTCTGTCTGCCTCTCTGCCTACTTGTGATCTCTCTCTTTCTCCCTCTGTCAAATAATTTTTAAAAATTAAAAAAAAAAAAAAGAAGGCTTGGCAGTTCCTCAAAAAGTTAAATATAGAATTTCCATATGACCCAGCAATTCCACTTGTAGGCATATACCCAAGAGAAATGAAAACATATTCACACAAAAACTTGTTTGTGAACGGTCATAGTAGCATGCTACATAATAAAAAGTGGAAACAACAAAGTGTCCATCAATAGACAAATGGATAGACAAATGGCAGTGTATCCACACAATAGAATATAACTGGGCCATAGAAAGGAATGAAGTACTGATACAGGCTACAACATGAGTGAACCTTGAAAACATGTAAGGGGGGAAAGCCAGACACAAAACACATAATACATGATTCCACTCATACGTCTAGAAAAGGTAAACCCATAGAGCCAGAAAGTAGATTAGTGGCTGCCAGGGGACAGAAGGTGAGGGGAAATCAGAGATAACTGCTGATAGCTACAATATTTCTTTTGGGAGTGATGGAAATGTTTTGGAATTAGACGGTGGTGATGGGTACACAACACAGTTGAACATACTAAAAACCACTGACTTAAACAGTTTAAAATAGTGACTTTTATGTTCTGATTGGTTCTGTTAAAAATATATTGTTGGGAAAAATCAATGCAGAAAAATTGTTTATATTTAGAAGGATTCCGTTTGTGTAAGGAGGGAAAACTATACCTATGCTCATATGCTTGCATATCCTTAGTAAGTTTGTAAAAAGATACACAAGACACTGCTAGCACTTGTGACTACTTCTAAAGGGAGGTGGGGAAGGGCACCTTCACTTAATACTTCTCTCTTGTTGGCACTATTTGCTTTTGTTTTAGATCATGAGTGGGATTCTGTTTTTGTTTTTGTTGTTTTATTTTAATTCCAGTGTAATTAACATACAGTGCTATATTAGTTTCCAGTGCACAACATAGAGAGTGATTCAACAATTCTATACATTACTCAGTGCTCATGACAGTAAGTGTACTCTTAGTCCCCTTCACTATTTCATCTATTCCCCGCCCCCCACCTCCCATCTGCTACCACCAATTTGTTCTCTATATTTAAGAGTCTGGTTTCTTGTTCATCTTTTTTCTTTGTCATTAGTTTCTTAAATTCTACATATGAGTGAAATCATACGGTGTTTGTTTTTCTCTGACTTATTTCACTTAGCATTATACTCTCTAGTTCCATCCAGATCATTGCAAATGGCAAGATTTCAGTCTTTTTTATGGCTGAGTAATATTTCATTGTATATATACACCACTTCTTTATCCATTCATCTGTTGATGGACACTTGGGCTATTTCCTTATCTTGACCATTGTAAATAGTGCTGCTATAAAGATAGGGGTGTTGTATTCCTTAATGTTTTTGTATTCTTTGGGTAAATACCCAGTAGGGATTGCTGGATCTAGGGTAGTTCTCTTTTTAACCTTGTGAGGAAACTCCATACTGTTTTCCACAGTGACTGCAACAGTTTGCATTCCCACCAACGGTGCATAAGGGTTCCCCTTTCTCCACATCTTTGCCAACACCTGTTGTTTCTTGTGTTGTTGATTTTATCCATTCTGACAAGTGTGATGTGATATCTCATTATACTTTTGATTTACACCTCCCTGACAATGAGTGATGGTGAGCATCTATTTACATCTCTGTTAGCCCTCTATATACCTTCTTAGGAGAAATGTCTGTTCACATCTTCTTCCGAACTTTTATTGGATTATTTGGTTTTGGGATGTTGAGTTGTGTAAGTTCTTTATACATTGTGGCTACAGACCCTTTATCAGATATGTCATTTGCAAATACCTTTTCCCATTTCACAGGTTGCCTTTTAGTTTTTTGATTGTTTCCTTGGTTGTGAAGAAGCTTTTTATTTTGATGTGGTCCCAAAAGTTTAATTTTGCTTGTGTTCCCTTGCCTCAGGAGGCATATCTAGAAAAATGTTGCTACAGTCAATGTCAGAGAAATTACTGTGTGTGCTCTCTTTGAGGACTTTTATGGTTTCATGTCTCACATTTATATTTTTAATCCATTTTGAATAATATTTTGTGTATGATGTAATCATACACAAGTATGGCCAGTGGGCCAGTTTCGTTCTTTTGTATGTAGCCATCCCATTTCCCCAAACCATTTGTTGAAGAAACTGTCTTTTTCCCATTGGATATTCTTGCCTCCTTTGTCGAAGTTAATTGACTATATTATCATGGGTTTATTTCCGGGGTCTCTATTTTATGCCATTTGTTGATCTATGTGTCTATTTTTGTGTCAGTACTATACTGTTTTGATGACTACAGCTTTGTAGTAAAACTTGAAATTTGGAGTCGTGATACCTCCAGTTTTGTTCTTCTTTTCCAATTTTGCTTTGGCTATTTGAGGGTTTTTTGTGGTTCCATACAAATTATAGGATTATTTGTTCTAGTTCTGTGAAAAATGCTATTGATATTTTGATAAGGATTGTATCAAAGCTGTAAGTTGCTTTGGGTAGTATAGACATTTTAAAAAAATATTTATCCTCCCAATCCATGAACATGGGATGTCTTTCTATTTTTTTGTGTCATCTTCAATTTCTTTCATCAGTGTTTATAGTTTTCAGAGTACAGGTCTTTCACCTCCTTGGTTAGGTTTATTCCTAGGTATTTTTATTTTTGGTGCAATTGTAAATGGAATTGTTGTCTTAATTTCTCTTTATGCTATTTTGTTATGAGTGTATAGCAATGCAATGGATTTCTATATTGAGTACTTTACTGAATTCATTTATCGATTTTAATATTTTTCTAGA